AAACGGAGACGTAACAATATAATGTTCTCCACATGTATTCACACAAATGCTTGTCAAAGCCATGCCCCAATTTTTCTAATATGCCCCTTAAAATAAACCCTTTTCAGAATCTTTTTTATCCAGGCAATTCTACAATTTTTGGGTGGGGGTGCCATATGGAACTCTTTCCATAAAAAGCATCAGAGGTTAACTAACAACAAAAATCAATAATTTTTCAAATTAAAAGATTTGTAAATAGTATTTACCAGAATGACACTGGTTAATCTTTTCATCTTACTCACAGAAACATAGTCCATACTATTAACCCTATTGCAACAAGCTCGTGTATATAATAGATCTTGTAACCACCATATACCCAGGGTGATATAAATGCTGAGTCTGAAAGTACTTAATGTATTTTTAAAAAATTGGCAAACTTTCAGTAAATATTAAAAGTTTTTCAAAATAAAAAAATCCCAATTTTTCATTAATAATTTTTACTAAAACTTTGTCTGTAATTATATGGTGTCAGTTTTGACTGGTTCAAGTACAAAGCGATTTTCATGTTAGATTAAAAATACTTTTCTTCATTGAAATTTTCAGATTTCATTTGTGTAACTCCTAAAACCTCCTAAATAAATATCAAACGTTTTTTTCCAGAAAATTTTAATATTTTGTCTGTTATTTTCTATATCATAACTCTATACAGGGTAGGTCAATTTGAACAACCTTGTAACCACCATAACAAAATTAGGAAATAATTCTAAATTAAACTTTTTTCTTTCTGGAATGACTGCAAATCATAACAGGAAATCACAATTGTTCATCCTAAATAACTTAAAGTTTCTAATAGTATGCATTTATTCATACTTAAATTTATTACCCTTTGAACCATGTCTAACTAATAATCCTTCCATAGAAGTTATAAATCACTTGGCAAATGTGTAGTTCACATTATCCTATTGAATTATGTAATGCACAAGTTGTCCATCAGCATATCCCATAAAGCATTTTTATTATTCTTTATCTTACCTTATCTAACGTAACAAGTTTCTAATTTTTACATTTTAGTTACTTTTATAATAATAAATAATGAATACACATAAAAAAACACGAACGTATTTAACTGCATCTTCTTTTTCTTTGCTGTCAGCTGTTAATGAAACTTAAGCTAACTTTTTATATTAATAATATTACCACACAAAATCATTTTTATTTTTATTAAATAATGTACCTAAGAACACAGAATAATAACATATAAAAAGCAAACAATATTGTTACGTCTCCGTTCGTTAGTTAATTTTCTGTAAATTCGTTTCGACAAAACTTTACCGACACAAGTCCTTTCTTAAATAAAACTGATTTATTCTTTCCGAATACAACTTTACAATACACTTAATTTCAACAGTCACTCTATAACAAATGCTATAATTCTCAACGAACATCTCACATGCCCAACAATATTCTCTCTGTCAGCATACATTTAATTACTCATCCCCCCGTCACTTCGAGGCCAGTCTTATGTATACAAGACTAGACTATATCTAGAAGGATCACAAGAACGTGAATGTTCGAGAACGACTTGACGTGATACTAGTCACGTGACCTCGATGTCGTAACCTGCCCCTTATTTAGTATTGTTCATCCCAAACAATAGCCATTTACATTAAACCAGTAACAATTAACAATAACTTAATTAAATGTAAGGAATTACAATTCAACAAAGTCTTAATTTTACAGGATGTATCTTCTTACATACTGGTCTCCGTCTCGTTGGCTTCTGCTTTACGTGGAGTTCATCTGCTTCATCAGGAAATGTCCTATTGTCGTTAAGCGTCACATCAGTGGTAGTAACTTCATCAAGAGCTTCACCATTTCCCTTCTCAAAACTGAGTAGAGTTTCTTCTGCGACAGTGGCTTTTCAGGTGACACTTTTTTCAGCAGCATCATATGTTCCATTGTTCACTTCGTCCAAACTGAAATGTCCTGGACCGTGCTAACGCAAAGCATGTTGGCATGCACCAATTTTGACTTACCTCGCCGACCACATTTTATCCAGAAAGTTATGTCTGAGAGACAATCCACTATGTCATATGGGCCTTCCCATGGAGAAGACAACTTAGGAGACTTCCCTTTGGTCTTCCTGGGATTATACAACCACACCTTGTCTCCTGCTTCAAAGCTGACTTCAGTAGATCTCTTATCATAAGATAACTTTATCAAACCAGCAGACCTTTTTATGTTTGAATGCACTTGATGGTGAATATCATCCATCCTTTCTGATAACACTTTCACAAACTCTGACACATTCTCAGGCAACTCCTCATCAGGTGGGCGTCCTATTAACATATCCACTGGCAACCGAAGTTCCCGACCAAACATCAACTTTGCTGGAGTGTATCCAGTGGTTTCATGCTCTGCTGTCCTATAGGCCATCAACAGTGGAGGGAGTAAGAAATCCCAGTCATCTAGGCAGCTATTACAAAACTTTGCCAATTTCT